TTTTCTTTGAATCATAATAGGTACAAATTATAGAGAAAAAAAAAAGAAAAAAAATTAATTGGATCAACCCGTCAACCTACGGGTTGACCCATGACTCGTGACCCGTGATGGATGGGTTAGGGTATGCCTTCATTGATCCGTGATCTGTTTTAACCCAACCCGTTTTAACCCGTTACCCGTTCTTACCTGACCCTAACCCGACCCAACCCACCTATTTGCCAAGTCTATTCGCAACTGCAGCCACTACCACATCAAGTCCATTACCATCACCATTATCAATTCCAATATCAACAATCTTCGATTTATACGATAAAAGAGCCTGCAACCATATATTATGGTGGAAAACGCCTGAATCAAAAAGGCCCCGGGTCTCCGAAGCAGGAGAGACTGTGATTAACAGCAATGAAGCAGCTAAGTATTATGGTTGGAGAATCATGATATTTTATAGCAGGAAATGAAATGCTTCAAAGGGATTATTGGCCTTTCACTAGCTCTAGTTACTTAATTTGGAACAAATTTCTGGATAATGTATATTATAGTATCTTAGTCTTACAATAAACTTGTTGCATCTAAAAAAAAAAGAAGAAGAAGAAGAAAGAATGCTTGTATTGCAATTGCTATGAAAATTGGCTTGTACTTTGCACTGTCTATTTGTCATTTAAAACAGAGATGTTAGGGGTATTAACTGGTTTAGTTTGGATATGTTATTTAATTTGTTTGCTTATGAATGTATTCTGGTTGGACAGCGATACGTACACCCACGAACCGGCACCCATTTTTACACCCAAATTGGTTTAAACAGTAAAATTACAAATTTACCCTTCCCATTAAATCTATTTCCCGACAACCAAATCCCAGCAAAATTCAAGCACATTCAACAAAACTCAAGCATTCAAGCACATTCAACAACCAAATCCTAGCAAAATTCAAGCATTCAAGCACACTCAACAACAAAATCCCAGGAAAACTCAAGCATTTCACTAAATCCATCCATCCAAAAAAATAATAATAATAAGAATTTCTCTGGTGAGAACCCAGATCTAGGTTCTCAAGAACCCAACTCGGGTTCTCACCAGAGAACCCAACTCGGGTTCTCCGGTGGGAACCCGACTGGGTTCTCTGATGAGAACCCAAGCTGGGTTCTCCGGTGGGAACCCGAGCTGGGTTCTCCGGTGAGAGAGAGAAAAAAAAAAAAGAAGAAGAAAGAAAGAGGTGAGGGAAAGAAGAAGAATGATCGGTGATGAAGGTGATGAGAAGATTAGAGATGG